TTGGCATGTTTTTGAAATTTTTGCCATTTTTTTTTATTTTTAGCATTTTTTTGTATTTTTGCGCCTTGATTCAAAAAGGTGCACATCTCGCCTTGTGCCTTGCGCCTCAAACGCAAATTGGCCCTTGCGCTTTTAAAACATTGCTTTCCACCACTATCTGAGATATGGAATGGGATATGGAGCAATATTTCAAGGCGTGCCATACCTAGAGACTGAGAAAGTCCCCCTCACTCGCATGTACCTAGGTGACTGGGGTGGCCAGAGATTCCGAGGTTGGGAGGCCAAGGATTGGGAGGTTGAGAACCCGGTATGGTGATGATTCCGAGGTTGGGAGGCCAAGGATTGAGACTTAGGAGACCCTAAAGCAATTCCTTCCTGGTAATGTCTCATGGGTGGCCAGAGACATGCTTAGGCATCTTAACTCTCCATGCCTTTTTTTTGGATCAATAACAAGAAAATTTCATTAATGAATATGAATCATTTTCATTGGTGGGAAGAGGTAAACTTTCTTTAACTCTCCCCCCAAAATATTAAAAATTACAACGTAGCCCAAAGTAAACGATTTCTACCCACAGTAGTCTCAGCTCCACACCCTAAGTCAGCCTCTTGAAGATTCTTTGTTTGTTGATGCAAGTCCACATCCTATCATCATCCTTCCCTAGCCATCTTATTACAACTCTACAGTCTCCTTCAATGATCAACCTATTAAGACTTGGTTCAAGAACCAAGTCCACATCCTATCTTTTCACACCCTCCATCAAGGCCAACATTTTTCCTCTTAGTGGGTCCTCATGACCGATTGGGCTAGAAAACATAGCTATGACTGAACCTTCCTCTGATCTAAAATCTCCACCAATCCATGAATGTCCAAGGTTACCTTCACTGCCACCATCAAAGTTTAGCTTGAAACCAGCACATGGCGGAGACCCTAAAGGTTGCACAATACTTCTGCTTGGAGTTGAGGCTACCACTTCTTGCCAATTAAATATCTCCATTGGTATTAAGTCCCTATGTGAATGTCATTAAATATCTCCATTGATTTTACCCAATGAACAACCTTGGAAGTGATCACTTCTACGATTGCCTTTGCTTCTCTCCTTTTCAACGAATATTCTTTGATTCCTTTCCTCCCAGATTATCCAACAAACCATTGCTCTTGTTTATCTCCATAATATTCTGCCCCTCTTCTTTGTCCACCTGTAGCCAAACAAAGAAAGAAATAAAACCCAAACAGAAAACAAAAGGGGTAGGAGATTAATAAGTGGTATCAAGACTCACCATTGGCTTTGCAAAGTGTACACCAGTTAGGAGACAAACACCAAAAAGGCTTCTTCCTTTGAAGATGGTCAAAAGTGTTAATTCTTTCCAGCACAACACCCCAATCCTTGGTGGAACCGGCTTCCCCACACTTCCTTAACTAGGAAAGAAGGCCCAAGACCAGTAGTAGGTTGTAGCAGGGCTTTGAAGGAGGCACATGTGAAGGAACTAAAGGAGGAGAGGGTCCAAATCCAAGAATACAACTTGGATGAGTCCAAGAAAACTTTTTGAAGAATTTGAATCAAAGACAAAACATTGTCCACATCTGATTCTTTGATTCCCCTTCTAAAACGCAAGTCCCAATCAAGTTCAAGCCCAAGATAAGAGTAAGATAGGAAAGTGGATATAGGCTCATTTTTTGTATCTAGAGAGGGAAAATAATTGTGTAAATTGATCTTTAAGTGGTAACTCTCCCACCCACACATGTTCGCAAAACCTTACCAAGTTCCCAAAGGACACGTTATACCTAACAAAGGGTAGAAAAAAATGGAAGGATAGCATGAATAGCTTTCCAAGGCATTGTACTAGTTGATCAATTCGAGACTCCTACGTCTTAGCTATCAGCCACCAGCCCATGGATGCTTAAGATCACCTTTTCCACAATTTATCCTTAGCTCTTTGCCCATACTATCTTCTCTCAACCCGGGATCTATGTCCTCCTTGCTACTTTCATGATCAGTGAAATTAACCTTTTCCATCTCCTTCCTCTTCATATCTTCCTCTTCTTTGGTAATATCCTCTCCTTCATCCTTTCCTACATCCATAGTCGGTGACTTGACTATATGCTGGACACTTGGAGAGAGGACAACAGACACAGGACCCAAATTAGTATCCAAAAAAGAATTCACAAGCATACCTTGGGATACAATAGAGGAAGGCTCAACCGCTTTATCTTGGGCATAAGAAGGGTCATAGTCCTTCCTAGGTTGGTTTTGCTTTGAAATAATCTTGAGTAAGGAATCAACTTGCAAGTTCCTTCTAGAGTTCTATGACTTGCCTCTTTTTGGGAACTCCTTGTTACACCCTTTGTGAATCTTGAAATCCTCCTTACAGACACCATGTGAATTATTTCCATTAGGGAATGATTCTTTAGTGTTATGCCTAGGATTTACTTGCCTCCCAACCAAGCAATCCTCGACCTCTTTTGACTTAATGTTGATTGGCGTTGAACTTTGAACAGAGGCTTTTGCCACTTCCTTTTGTTTCATTGTTAAATGTTTTGTCGATATAGTAATCATCTTTGAAGACTTAAGTCTTTGCCGTTGTGCCCACGCGACTGCTCAGTGACTCTGTCTAAGACTTAGAGTCTTCCTCATCTGATGAATCATAGTCGACCCATCCTCCATCCACCAAATCTTTCTCCTCCATCCCCGTTTGGGTATACCTTGGATTAGGCCGATCATTTTGTGGTCTTCCAAGGTCATTTTCTTCCTCACATTGTTTTGGCATCCATTGTAGGGGCTGTTTCGAACAAGACTTTGCTATATAGCTGTGGCTAGTCTGTAGACCTGTTAATTGGCCGGGTAGCCCTATGGGCTGGCTTGGCCCGACCTATTATAAGATGGGCTTGGTCATAATTTTAGACCTGCGGGCTCAGGCTCGGGCCTAAAGCACCATGCTTGACTTTTTTTCGGGCTGGGCTCGGGCTTTCTCAAAAAAGCCTAGCCCAAGTCCGAGCCCAAGCTTGAGCCTGACTGGGTACTATTTATATTAAATAATAAAAATATATTTATTTAATAAAAAATATATATACAATATTTTTTCTTTGTTCTCTTTTTTTCCAAGTAATAGTGAGATGTTTATTATTTTTGAGTTTTGAAGGTTTTTAATATAAATAAAACACTTTTTTATTGAATAAAACAGAAAAAAAATTCTATTTTCAAATTTTTGGCCGGGCTTGGGCTCAAGACATAGGCCCGATGGTCAGGTCGGGCTCAGGCCTAAATGTATTCTGTTGATACATATACAAAGCCCAGACCGGCCTAGCCCATGAACATGTCTACTAGTCTGTAACAAAGAAGATGATAGATGGGGTTATTGTCCCCAATCAACAGACTACCTCTATGACTCACGATTATTTAAATAGTCACATGGGCTTAACACCGTAGGTCTGATCGAGTGCCTACTTTAGTTATTGTGTAGCTTTGCTCACATCGTAGGTCCGATCGAGCACCAAACTGAACTGCCTCAACAAATGACTTAATCAAAGGGGAAAGGGAACAAAACAGTCCTCTTCGATTGACCGAGGTATAAGAGTAAATGAAAAGGAAAGGTCTTCAAACAAATTTAAAGTGGAAGTTAAAGAGGCTTTTGAATTTCTAAAAAAATAAAAAAAGTCCAAAAAAATGCAAAATATTAAAAATATTAAACACATTATTAATTACAAATATGAACTTAAATTTTAAAATAAATGCTTTAAAAACCTATTATCTCAAATTTAAATACATAACATAACATGTAGAACATATTCAAAATGAAAATATAAAAATAAAATTAAGCATAACATATAATACATATTCAAGCATGTAAACTCAGCTCTTTATTTTTTTTCCCAATTACATTGCTTCAAATAGCTAATGTAATGTTAAACATTATGCATTCTTGGTTCTACGAGCTGCCTTCATATTAAGCCCCTCGAGGCAAGCCTAGAAAAGATCCATAGAAAGGTCTTAAATTCTTAATCCCTATAAAAAAGGTTTTATAACTTTAAGCGTCTTTTAAAAATATCTCTTTTTAGGATGAATGAATGAGCAATATTAGCAAATATGGTGTTTTCTGAGCTTCGGTGAGTGAGCGAAGCAAGTGAGGTGCAAGGCATACGTCTGGGCTGAAGTGCAAGGCATACCAGGCACACACCTTTTGAAAATGCTGTGCCTGGGACCTAGGCAAGGTGCGTACCCTAAAATGTGCTTCGCCTGTGCACCTAGGTGCGCCTTTTTAAAACATTAGTCCAAACTGCCATGTTTCTAACTGTCCCCTCTTAGCCAATCTGTCATCACTATACTCCCTTCAACTAGCAAGTTTTCATAACCAACCTACCTAATCTGTTCTTAATTAACAAGGAAAATAAGAAAAAAAACAGGTCTGAAAATAGAGAGAATAGAGAAGAAAAACTAGGGCTGTGAATAATAAAAGAGATTATACAAGGGATCTCAACCACCATCGTGTTTTATGGGGAATGCCTGGACCTAGGAGTAACTTGTAATCCTTGTCTAACTATCTTTTGTAGTCTTTGGGTCATTGTATTAGTCCAATTTATCCGACTTTTTGAATGGTATGGCTTGTTTTTGAATGAAATCAGCACTGTTAATTATAAAGAAAAGCAGAGATGCTAAATCACCCAAACCGTTTTGCATTGTATGAAGTGGTAAGGCTGAAACCCTTGTCCAGAGGATCCCTTGATGGGATATAATTTCTTCCTTTTCTGATCAAATCTTTGTTTGACTGTTGAGTATGACAATTAATTAGCTGTGTTGAAGCTTCTGAGTTTCTCTGTCTTTTCATATTACTGTGGTCATAAAGCTTCTATGTGTGAATTTTCCTTTAAATTTCGTGTAGTAAGATTAGATGGCAGTGAATAACCTTTTTTTGTTATTGTCATTAAGATTACCAAACAAAATGTTATCATGTCCTTGTTTCCTCTTCTTGATCTGCTTGAACTTTGGTTTATATTCTAATGACAGCAATATTGATGGCATTACTGGGTTTAGTGAAGATGATTCACAATCAATCTTCAACTTTATGAAGGTAGCAATTGAATTGACAAGTTCTAATCCTTTTAATCAGGTAACTGTTATTATGCTTCCCTCCATTGAATGGCAATTCTACTAGTATTAATCATCTTAGTCACTATTCTCATATTTTATAGTAACATGACTACTCTATAGATGATTGGGATTAATTGTTAATTCTTTGATGAAGTGACATATCATTAGGGTTTCAAATGATGATATACTGATCTAAATCCTGTTGAGAATTTTTTGATTGGTAACTGATAAGTCCTTTTTAATTCTGAGTAAAAGAATAAGGAATGCTATACATAGTAATGTGCCATACACCCTATAGATTTGCTAATTTATGTTTGACCCATAATATGTTTTGTGTCCCCTCTCTGGTTAGTTGTACTCCAATACAGATGATCCCTAGTCGCACTATGTTTTGCCAGTCCATCAAGCAAAGTGTTGGTTGATTTTGAAGTTCATATCTACCTAATATGCATCAGACTGGTTAATTCCTTCTCTCTTATAACAAGTCTATACTTCCATGTAGCTGTTCCCAATCTTTTTTTTGAATGATAAAAAGAAAAAAATATTAGAAAAAAATAGAGTTGATTACAACCAGCTACAGGGTGATAAGGCTGCGCCCAACCAAACTATGAAACAAACTAAACTAAAGAAAAGGAGACAAGAAGAAAACAGAAAAAACCTCCCCTTCTGGAGACTTCAAAAGTCATCTCCTTCAAAAACCTCTTCTTCACCATCTCCTTCCTCATTTGACGCCTCTCCCCTTGCCCTTGCTAAGTTACTCGTAATCTTTCTTCATTCCTGCTCTTTTCAAAAGCTTCAAATGCTCTTCTTACAAACTCCTCTCTGCCTCAAAAAAGCAAGCCTAAACTCTTTCCTACTTTTACATTCCTCTCAGCCAAACTCTCAATCTCCATTCCTTTTTTTCCCACCTTGCTGACTAAAATCTCCTTACCATTTCCCTCCTCACCGTCACTAAAATCTCCTTCTCTGGCCCTGAAATTAGTAGTAAACTTGCTTCTTGAGACACCAGCATCTGGGACTCTGCACCAACTGAATCCTGAATCCCAAATCCTCTCCCCTCATCAATCTTCTTATTTAGAGCTTTAGCCTTTGAGCCTCTTTTCTTGTAGACATGCTTAAACTTGTTTGTGGGACCTGCGCCAACTAGCCCTTCTTTCAGTTTTGAAAAAATTTTAGTAACATGAACCATGTGAGACCACAAATCCAAGCTTTCTTCAAAATGAACATAATTACTAAATGAAGATAATTAGTTGGAATGTGAGGGGATTGGGTAGTGCTCCAAAGATGACGGTTATTAAAAAGGTGCTTAGGAGAGAGGCCCCACATGGGAGAGTTAGTAAGTGGACTGTGGCTCCATCATGGGTTTCTTCTGGGGGAATTCTAACTTTGTGGCAAGAAGAGTCAGTGGAATGTCTATAAGAGCTGGTGGGAAGATTTTCTGTTTCATTTTAAGTAAATATTGTGGTGGATGGATTTTTGTGGGTAGTGACAAATATCTATGGACCAAGCACCTATAGGGAGAGAAATGAGATGTCGGGGGAAGTAGCGAATGTGAGAGGTTTATGGCTTATGGGATAGACTTTGGTGTTTGGGAGGAGATTTCAATGTGATAAAATTTTCCCAAGAGTCCAGTAATCCTAGGCAACAAGCAACAACTAGTATGGGGAAATTTAATTAGTTCATTGTGACTTTTGGGTTGAAGGAAATTTTGACGAGACATAGTTCATTTGCTTCGATTTACAAGAGAACCCCATTTCTTTTAAGTCTGACAGATTTCTGCCTTTCTGGTCACCTCACTGAGAGGAGCATAGGGACATATTGACATGTAGAATACTTCTTAGGCTTAAATCTGATCATTGTCTCATATGTCTTAGGCTTACATCTGATCATTGTCTCATATGTCGTAGGCTTACATCTGATCATTGTGTAGAATACTTCTTAGGCTTACATCTGATCATTGTCTCATATGTCTCTACCAAGATTCCTTTGTTGGTGGTCTTTTTCCTTTTAGATTTGAAAACATGTGGCTTACTCATTCAGGGTGTGCAGAAAAAAGTGAAGGAATGGTGGGAAGAAGCAAAGGTACAGGTGAAGTGGGAAGGAATGAGATTCTCTAATAGGCTCCAAGTGGTGAATGCAAAGATCAAAGAGTGGAATTGGACATATTTTTAGAGATTAGAATGAGAAGCAAACATCATAAGTTGGCTGAAACAGAATGAGAAGACTCCTTGTTTTTTTAGAAACAAAATCAAACAATTCAGGAGGTTCTCAAGGGACATGCAGCTGATAATTCAATGGACTCCTAGGTCGGCAAATGGTGTAGCTGATCAACTAGCAAAGCAAGGGGTAAATAGGGCACTGTGTTTCTGGGCTCAGTTGTAAGACCGAATATTAAATTGTCTTCGTATTTTCTTGGAGGTAGCCGGGGCTGCTTTTGATTTGTACATTCCTCTTTCTCTAAGTAATAAAATTTGATTTTGATGATGATAAAAAAAATATTTATACTTTTAGATATTAGAAGATAAGAAAGCAAGTCTCATTTTGGTTTACAACTTCCAATGATTTTCCTCATAGCCAAGTAATAATGTATCAGGATTCTAGAAGGCTATGAAACAATGCAGTTGTTACCTGAGATTATTAACAAACAAATGAATTTGTATTTAATTTGAGAATGTGTAGCATAGACATGTCTAATATGTACTTTTTGTTATTAAGATATAAGAGATCCATTAGCAACGGTTACTTAGCTTTATAGAGTACAACTGGGAAATGTTGAAAAGGAAGACATACTAGTCATATATTGGAAGCACCCAATTCAATTCAAATAGTTCTCTCAGCATTAAACAAATAATAAAAAGCAAACTTTAGAAGACAATAATACCTGCAGCACAAAACAAAAAACATTCAACTACAAGTATAGCTGCTAAGTGATCAAGGAAGAAATCTCAAAAGAAATGAAAAAGATATGTTGTATATGACTATGATGCTATATAAAGAAGCAGAGTAGAAAAAAAGTGGACAAAAAATATTCAACAAGTATAGCCCATGTACAACTAGCTGCTACATAATGGAGAGAAAAGAAAAGGGTGCTTACATCCCTGAACTCTTTACTGATCACCATCCTTGAGTGAACTACAATGTTTTACTTGCTAAAAATATTTTGCCTCTTCTGCTGTAACAATCTGCTTTATTTGTTATTTTTTTAATAGCTCTCCTAGCATATTAACCAATTATGACTATTCATTTCTGTTTCCCAAGCTGATAGCTTGGACAACTAAGGTATTATGAATTTGTAGCTATCATATATTCATTTTTTGACTTGAAAGTTCTTTCATTTCAACATGCTTGTATTTATTATTCTGCACAGATAGTCAATGCTGCAGTTATAGTGGATCCTTCAGTGAGGCAGGTAATTGCAAGTGCATATGATCAGACATGCTATGAGCATCCTTCTGTAAATAACACTTCAGGAACCAGGTTTTCTTGTCAACCAGAAATATGCACTGCCTTGCAATCTGATGCAAACAGGGTCGAAATGAATGAGCAGTCAATCTTAAATCGTATAGATCAATGCCCACTCTCATATAGTGGTGTTTCTTGTCTCTATCCTTGGCAGTGGAAAGAGAAGCATCAATATGCAGGAAAAAATTATGCTTGGCATCCTTTAAGACATGCTGCTCTTGTTGCTATTGAAAATGCTGCTGCCAGGGATAGACACCTATTTCCTGGTTTAGGTAACTCAGGCCTCTCCATTCAAGTGGATCACATGCAGTCTTCTTCTATTATCAATCCGGCAAAAAGACAAAAGATTCCTTCAGAAGTAAGTGTTTTTTTCTCTGTTTTTACTGCACAACCATGTTGCTGGTCTGGCTAACTTTAGGGACAGCATTTAGCTACAAATTCTTGCTAAAATCAGAGTATTTAACTCCTTATTCTAATTTACCCACCTCAGGTGATCATTGTCTATAGTTAAGTGCTTCTGTTCCTAACTTTGCCCCAACTTGTTTCTTGTTACTGTTCAATGGTATTTCAGGTTGCTGAAGACATGACTCTTAAAGCCTGTACAGATGGCTTCCATTCAGAAGCAGTTCGGCCTTATTTGTGCACTGGTTTTGATATCTACCTGGTTTGGGAGCCATGTGCAATGTAAATCATTAACATTATATCTGGATATTTTCCTTACTACTTTATGCATCCAGTGTTGTGTTGTATAGAACAAGTCCATACTCTTCAGATATCTAAAAAACAACAAAATATAGGGAATAAAATCTTAGGTCTTCTTTTCCTTGCACCTATAGGGGTAGCTACATAACCAACAGGTTTCCTGGCCAGATAGGCATCACTCTCTTTTCCATGTAAATCATTCAGCTATATTCACCATCCATATTTTTTGATGTGTGAGCCTAGTATTTTTTGCTGGAAAGACGACTTTCTGTGGACTGGATAGAAATGTCAAGGGGGCTTATATAGTCACGTCCTTCACAAGCCCTTTCTCCTTCCAAAGTCACGTCCTTCACAAGCCCTTTCTCCCTCCAAAGTGGGATTCTGTCCTACCTACATCTACACTTATATTTTTCATGTTCAAATGCCATTTATAATAAATAAATGCATTATTCTTTCTGCATACACGTAAGATTAACTAACAATTGCAAATTATTATTTATAATGCCCCCTGTTAAGTATATGTGCATCAACCAACCAATTTTAAGTTACTAATAACACGTGAAATTTTGATTTTACAGAGATGCATGTATGAGTAGTACACTCCTAATATATTCCCAACTTAGGAGCTTTTCAAATTTGGCGCTCCTATCTCTCCTCTCCAGTTCTGTCTCTTGCATCTTTATTTTTTGTTTATTATTATTAATTTTTTTTTGATACATGTTTGTGGTTAGAAGAACCCTAGGGTTTTAGCCTTTTATAAGGTGTCTTGATCTAGTTTGAACATTTAAATGGATTTATCTAATTAGTTAGACTTTGCAGCAAATTCAAAGAGTATTTTGTCTTTTCCAGACCTGACTTTAAGAGTCAAAAGTAGTTTGCCACGTAACATCCCCTATTAGCTGCTGTGTTGTCCTCATGCTCAAGCACTTTTTATTATCTATTTGTTTTTATAAATTTTCTACTAGCTGATTTCTTTTACGTGTATTTATGTTTAAGGTGTGCCATGGCACTTGTTCATCAAAGAATCCGGCGTATATTTTATGCATTTCCAAACCCTAATGCTGGTGCATTGGGCAGTGTCTACAGACTACAAGGGGAGAAAAGCTTGAATCATCATTATGCTGTTTTCAGAATTTTGTTACCTGAAGAAGTCTTTGGTAAAAAATTCATTTAAATGTCAATCGCCAGCAATGGCCCTAGCTGTGCAATTATTTTAAATTAAAAATTATTTTGTGAGGCATTGTGAGGCCATTCTCATGTGTAAACTGTGTACTATATATTTTTCAATTAGCAGCTTTATCATTTTATCCATGTCTGTTTTGGTGTTTACTCCCAGGATTTTTGAGACTTGGATCCTTATCCATTCCAATAACATTGCCTTTGTCATGAAGAATTTGAATCAATTAATTTAGGCTGGGTCAATTCAATTGTTATACAAAAAAATTCTATAATGAGGTGAACCCACATTCACTGAAGGGGGACACCCCTTGTAAGTTCTGGCTCAGCATGCATAATAGAGATTTTCTGATGCAAATGGAGGGATAAGAAAGACCACCTTCTGTATGTTGCTCATTTTCAGTTTTACAACCTACCCAAGGTTTTTTGGTAATTATTTGGCATTGAATCCACCTCATAAACAAGTCGGCTTCACCAGTCACCATGTATGAACTTCAAGCTAACTTAGTTACAAATGTTGGTCCAAGATTCTCAGCCATCTGGCCTCCTGGGAGGGGTAGATTGAGTGTTAGACAGTTTTGTATGTCTTTAGGTTCAATCCGATTTGATGTATTTTTGATATTTAGTGTAAATAAATAAAGTGCGTGTTTGATTTATGTTGTTTGGTATAATTCTGTGTAAGACCCTAAAATTGAACATTTATAGAGATTCGTGTTAGTTTTAAAAGTTTACAGTCATTGGATAAGTCTGGGGAGATTTATCCTATCAAGGCTGATATTGGTATGCCACCAAGTGTTGGGATGGCCTGTCTCGGCCACTAGGGTAAGACCCAAGGCACATGTAGTATGGGATTACTCGAATCATTGAATTGGACCAGATTTTCAGTATTGCCCTGACCTTGGAGACAGATGGGCAAAACTGGAAAGTTACACTTGACCCCTAAACTCGATTATGATACTTCACTAGGTGTCAGATCGGGTTGTCTTTGATATGCCACTCAGTGAGATCCTTACCGGGGATCAAAACCTATGCATGTTGGGGCAGTCTGAGAATTCATCTGAGTGGATGATCATAGTGACAGGATAAGCTCCTTTGTCGGATAAAAGTAATGATCGGGAATGCACTCTCTCTAATGGAAACCAAACTGCCAGCAGTTGATTTCAATAGTTGGAATTTTGTTTTGCAAAATTTATATATATATATATATATATATATATATATATATATATATATATATATATATATATATATATATATATATATATATATTACAGTTTCAAAGTGTTTGCAAATGGTTTTAATTCCTGGGATCTATGTGAGCAGAGTGAGGCACTGTTCTTTGCAATCGAGGGAAATGTCCTCTCTTGTCGGGCAGTGCTTGATCATTAAGTGCTGAGAGGTTAAGTGTAAGACCATTTAGGATARTACCTGATGGGCTAATCTTGYACCTACCCACAGTCCCTGGGTTTTTATAAGATGACTTGGCCCAAGGACCACTTAATGTAAGTGTTGGGCCCGTAGGGTCCATGCGATGGGCTCAGGGGTTCACTGAGCTCTTTCAGTGAATTTGGTTGGGCCGTGTGATAAAGGCTGGGCCGAACTCATGTGGCTGGTGTGTAGATCAATGCTTGGGTCCCAGGCTATACAAAGAAGCCCAACTAGGCAGCAGATTGGAGACTAGTTAAGCACTGAATACTTAATGGGCCAAAAGCCCATTTCGAGATGGGCTGATATGATCACCCATCTATGGGGCGAATCTGGAATTAAAGTTAGCAAAAGGATTGGGCCTTTAACCTTATCCACTCTAGGAGACCAAATTCAAATCATATTTGAATATGATAACCTCCTGATAAGATCAGGAGTAAGCTAACTTAATCTGCAGATAGGATTAAGATCATCCCATATCCAAATACTGATTTGGATTGAGATAATTCCTAATTAGGAGGTTTCTTAATTAAGAAGAAAAGAAGAGAAACCCTAAATTAACATAATCAGATTTTTGAACCTAGGGTTGTGTGCAAGCAAGAAAGCTTCCTGCGAATTGAGATAGGATCTCATTCACATTCCAGAGAGAAGAGAAGCAATTCAGGCATCTTCATCTCAAGAGATCTCCTCCAGCTGCCGCCTCTCTTTCTGACAAGATTCGATCTTTGAAGAAGAAAGAAGTCAAGAAATCAGTTCTTGACATCAGTCTTGCAGAAAAGACTGAAAAAGATTTGGTGCTAAAAGTTTCCATAGGATTCTTGCGAAGGATCTAGTGTAGGATGCACTCTGTTGGTTTCGTTCCACCTACAACTGTCATTTTCAGCAAGAGCGGATCTTAGTGTCCTCTTTGGGCGTGAACACCAACTTTGGGAAATACTGATTCTCTGGATCAGGTATAATTCCTCCATTTCATTCTGGTTCAGATCTAGTTCGATTATGGTTAAAGTAGGATTCTTGAATATTGTATTATAATTTAGGGAATACGATTCCCAATTGAAAGAAGGTAGGAAAATTTTTGAAATTCGTCCACCAATTCCGCATTCTTTTTTGGCGTCCATTAGAAGAAATTTAATTTCTGTTTCTAAACTGTATGCTGATGGATATACTATTTATTTTAGTAATATGATTACTGTTAAACGGAATAACAAATTTATCGCATGCGGGAAATTGGAGAACAGTCTCTATGTTCTACAACCTTCTTTGGAAACTAAGTTAACCGAAACTACGTCGGTCAAAAATCCCAAGAAAAGGACTCGTGATACAGTGATCCCACGTGCCTCTAGCATTACCGACTTGGCCATATCGGTGTTGACCGAATCACAAGACTAGTAAAGGATGGTCTTTTGGATTTTCTAACCGTAGAAAATTTTTACACTTGTGATCCTTGCCTACAAAGTAAGATGAGTAAGCAGCCATTTGATGGTAAACGTGAAAAATCTGCAGGCACACTTGACCTAATACATACTGATGTATRTGGTCCCCTGAGTGTTAGGACACGAAATCAACACGTGTATTTCATCACCTTTACAGATGATTTTTCACGATATGGTTACATATACCTAATGAGACACAAGTCTGAATCCTTTGAAAAGTTCAAAGAGTTCAGACAGGAAGTCGATAAACAGTTAGGGAGAGAAATTAATGCCATTCGATCAGATCGAGGTGGCGAGTATCTCTTTGACGAATTCAGGGACTACTTAAGAGTCAATGGGATAGTGTCACAATTAGCTCCTCCTGCTACACCTCAACTCAATGGTGTTTCAGAGAGGAGGAATATGACCTTGTTGGACATGGTCTGGTCACTTCTCGTACGCTCAGAATTACCCACATCCTTTTGGGGATACGCATTAGAGACTGCTATCTACGTGCTGAATCGGGCTCCAATCAAATCGATTCTGAAAACTCCATATGAACTATGGACCAGAAGGAAGCCAAGTGTAAGACACTTAAAGATTTGGGGTTGTCCTACACACGTTAAAAGAACAAGTGCGGACAAGTTGGAGTTCAAAACCAGTTGTTGCCTATTTATAGGCTACTCAAAAGATTCGGTGGATTATCTATTCTATGACACAAGTGAGCAGAAAGTGTTCTGCAGTCGAAACGCCCAATTCTTAGAAACTGAATACATCTTGGACACCCATCGTCGGGAAATAGTTCTTGATAAGGAGGGCTCAGGAGCAGTGGGAGATATCCTACGAGTTCCAGGTAGTGACCAACCTAGAAGATCCACTTGGGTATCCAGGCCACCAGTCCAATATGGTTATGACCAGGATAGCTACTTGGTGGAAGCCTTGACTAGTGAGGAGGATCCCGTAACTTACGCGGAAGCTATGTTAGACACAGATTCCCAGAAGTGGGTGGAGGTCATGAGAGCTGAGATGGACTCGATGGAGACCAATGGGTCTGGACTCTAGTAGATCCGCCCTCCAGGGTAAAAGCAATTGGTTGCAAATGAATCTACAAGAGGAAGAAGGGCCCCGATGGCAGGATTGAGACCTACAAAGCTCGTTTGGTGGCGAAAGGGTATACT